AGGAGGCTCTGCTCCACAGTGATGAGGATGGAAGCTGCTCCAGCCTCTTCCTCCAGCTCCTGGGGGCCACTGATGCAGAAACACTCTGGCAATATAACAGCCAAACCCAGGGTGGCAGTGTGGTATTGTGAATCGCCCGCACTGTGATGGGTGGAGGCTGGGTTCGTAGGTGGGTTGGTTGGTAATGGGTTGGAAAGCTGGTATGGATAAGCTAACTAGTTATGGTTTGACTGGCTGATAGATCATGGCTGGGTTATGGGCTGGGTGGTTGGTTATGTCTTGGTTAGTTTGTTGGTTATGGGTTTGTAGCCAGTTATCACTGGGTGACTGATTATAGGTTGAATGGCTGATTATGGGTTGGGTGGTGGCTTGGTTATGGTTGGGTGCTGGTTACCAGTTAGCTGGCTAAGGATTGGACTAAGCATTTGGTCTCAGAGAACTGCCCTCAGCTTCGCCTGGACCTTTCACATTAATGTAACCCTGCCTGGCAGCCTGCTTAATATCTCTCCAAGTACATACAAGGCACTTCCTTGCATCCTGTCTTCACTGCACTTGCTCAGAACATCTTTTAGGCTCTTCTGGCCCCTGTAGCTCATCATTATTGAACCAGCCATGGGGGCATCCTCTAGTTCTTCAGCCCCTCCTGTGTAATGGACCCTCAGTTAGGGTTGGGTTTCTACAGGCTGGAGGAGGACTGTGCTCTGCTGCGGATGTGAGAGGAACTCTGCTCCCTGAGTCTACAGGAAGCATACCCCAACCCATTCCCAGACCTCCTCGGTTTGGAAAAGAGGACAGAAAGCAGCTCAACGCACAAAATTTGTGTCTGCCACCAGACTTGCCTTAGCGGGGCTGTTCTTGGGGTTTCCAGCATGTGGTTGATTCATTACAAACCATATATGGGTCATGAACTGATGGAGGAAAAGAGAATGTTGGACTCAATGTAGTTCTCTCTTCCAACTCCCTTCCCAGTGGTGTGGCTGAGCCGCCGAGGGTATGCTGGCTCGGATACAGTCCCCCATGCATCCCCAGAACCTCCTGGGCTGTGAGATGAGCTGATGGAGGTAGAAGTTTGCCCGTACCTGTGCCATCTACTCCATGGACCACAGGAGCAGTCCACCAGGTGGGCAATTCCCTGGCCCAAGCTGGATGCTCAGAAATCCCTGCTTCTCTTCTCCCCACCCCAGGGCCTCCTGCCGACAGCAACCATCACTGGGTCTTAGCTCAGAGATGCCCGAGTTGAGCACGGTGTGGAAGAGAGACAGGCGATAGTGGGGGCTGATGGTGGAGGACAGGAAGTGCACTAGGTTGTACTCAAGTAAGCCCCCGCCAAAAAACTGGTCAGATAATTGGCTGGGGTAGAAGGGCCCCAATGCACATTTGACCCAGGGATGCTGGATGGTGACTTCCATGCTGGTGCCGCAAGACCAGAGGCTGACAGGGACTTCTGGACAGCGCAGTGAGGAGCTGGGATGTGGGCCTCCCTATATACGCCTTAGACAGAATGGAGGTATTAAGGGGATTTTTCTAGAAAGACATGAGCTCATGCCCAGTCAGCAGAAACATGGGCTGGTCTGAGCAGTGGAGTGGACAGAGCACCCACCAATCCAGGTCATGAGGTGTGGCAGCCCAGGGGACCAGCATCCTCAGGGTGGTGTGGGCCAGACACACAGGACAGCCATGCATCCATTGTCCAGAGGGGTCCTCAAGGCCACCTGGGAGGTGATGCCCATGTGCCTCACACAGGCAAGAAATGGAGGCACAGAAGCTGGGCAACCCATTTGCAATTGTTGTTAAGTGCCATCGAGACGGTTCTGACTCATAGTGACCATGTATAGGGCTTCCTAGGAGTGGCTGGTGAGTTTGAACTACCAATCTTACAATTCAAACCGACTTTGCACTCCTGTCCTTAACCTCTAGCCACACCAAGACTCCATAGGGTTTCCTAAACTATCATCTTTGTGAAAGAAGCCCTGTTGACACACTGGTTAAGTGCTAGACTGCTAGCCAAAAGGTCAGTTGTTCAAACCTACCAGAAAGATGAGACAGTCAGCTTCTGTAAAGATGCCAGCCTTGAAAATTCTATGGGGCAAGTCTGCTCTGACCTATAGAGCTGCTATGGGTTGAAATCACCTCAAGGGCACACAACAACCTCTATGGGAATACATTGCCTGTTCTTTTCTCCCAAGATGCTGCTGGTGGATTCAAACCACTCACCTTTTAGTTAGGAACCAAGTGCTTAGCCACTTCTCAGAGGCCAGTGTTACTGAAAATTCTAAACAAGCTGCCACAACATGACAGACGAACAGATGGGTTGTGGAATCTTTAGTGCTGTTTTCTTTATTCATCGATAAGCATTATCCACTGTGTGGAAAGCATCCAGACAGGGCCCGATGGTACCGTTGCCTGGACTTGACTACAAACATTGGCTTGAGAGCAGATTTTTAGGGGAAGGCACATCTCGGGGTCAATTTGTATCTGTAACACCCGAGGTTTGAGATATCCCTGTGTCTGAACCAGAGATTTCAAACAAACACTGGCAGCATGTACAAAGAAAGAGTGGGAGCTATATCCATCTATTATTCTGTATGTCCTCTTGGTGCTTGAACTTTTTAAACCGTAAAACCAAATGCAGACTATGAGGGGTGATGTTTGTGTAGAGCAAATGGGCATTCATGCATGAAACATTTCACTAACTCTGAATAATGTCTTTAAAATTGACATACATAATTCTTATTAATTGTTCGTTGTTGTTTTAAAACTAGACAGCAAACCAGAAAATGATTGTTCATGGTTATTATCAAGATGGTTATTGAAAATCATTTAGTCATGTAGACAAAGGACAGTCTTTGGGTGTTGCAAAAGATTCACTTACTCCCTACTCACTGAAAGGATGGTGGTTTGATGCCAGTGTGTGTGTTTGTGCTCATGTGTGTTGCATATGTCTGTATGTATGTATGTTACATATATGCGTGTGTGTATGTGTGGGTGTTTGTGTATGTACCTATGTGTGTCTGTTATGTGTGCCTGTGTGTACATGTGTGAGGGTGTGTCTATGCATGTGAATATGTCTGTGTAGTATTGTGTATGTATGCTTGTGTGTGTGAGAGTGTATGTGGGATGGCGATATAGACTGCAGTTTCTGAGAACAGCTTCTACTAGTGTCTAAACAAATTGGGCCTGTCAGGAATCTTGTTAATCCATGATAAGCCTCTAGTAGACAGGAAACACAGCCTTATGGGTAACTCCCAAGAATGACTGGGTCTGCGTTCACTCCCACATTGTTCTCTGTGCCCCAGCTTAAGCTTGCTTTCAGTGCTTATGATGTATATACCAGCTAAATACCAGCTCTTTGCACAAAAGAAATTCTTATCTAAAAATTTCTGTGATGTCAACAGTCCACTGATTTACATGGCAACTGGTAGTTCAAGTTTCCACTGTAGCCCATATTGGACCCACCCACACATCCACACTGTGTTGGGGTGGGTGGTCATTGTTGTGGGATCATCAGAGAATGTGCCTGGATTAAGCCCTTACCTGACCTTGGGCAAGGTCAGCAGGTCGGATCGACAAGGTCCCACTCTTGGCTCCGGGTAGGAGTGGTCAGGCAGCAGATGCCTCAGAAAACCCAAAAAGGCCTTGCAAATGCCGTCTGCAGGTGGCGCTTGTTAATTTGGCTGATCACCCTCTTTTTAGGAATTTGTAGATGATCCTGTTCTGCACACACACACTGGCAGCTGTGGGAGAGCTAGGTCATGGGTGATGGTCACAGAACACAGTTTCCAGCATGTTCTCCTGCTCACCAACACTTAGCATTTTCAATGTGGCTCTTTGCCATGGGAACAAAGGGCCATCTTATTGGTGTGAGAGGTGTAATAAAACGCTGTTGTTCGTTTATCTGATTAAAGGAATGTAAGTGTCAACTCTCCATTCCTGTTTCCCCTCTGTGCTCCCATTCATGGGGGTGTTTGATGGGCTTCCTAGGTAGGCAAGAGCATCCATGCATGGGAGAGGATAGCACATCCCTGGAGACAATAAAGCCACCATTCCAGGACCCCTACCCAAGCCTCACCTGATGCATCCCTTCATCTCTTTGTTTGCATCCTTTCTGGAGATAATAAATGAGTAACTTAAGGATTAGGAGTCTCCATTCTAGAGAATTAACAAGTCCACTCAGGATAATGAGTCAATAAGACCAGGCATCTGCCTAGTTGGTCACCAGAAAGACAAAATCTTATAACTTGTGTGAAGACACAGCTCTGGGTAGCTAGGAGGTCTGAGAAAGTCTGCGTGGACAGTCTGTTTGAAAGACAAAGTCCTAACTTGAGAGTATCAACTCAGCTCTGGATGTGCTGCTTGGAGCAGGTGGTGACAAAAGCAGAGAAGTGGGGAGGTGAGGTCTGGATCCATTTCCAGGTGGGCAGTGGATTCATGTTGATCAAAAGTCCCATGCAGTTGGTAATGAAGGGGGAACCTGCCCACTGTGTGTGCCCTTTTATTGGTGCAATCTGTGCACATGTATCCCAGACACTTTTCCCTGAGCTTTGGACCACTTTTACAACTTTCTGAAGCACACCTCTATGGTCAATGGGAGGATTGGGCCAATGGAGTCAGATGCGTCCCAGGGAAAGATAGCACGGTCTGTTCAGGTTTAAGCTAAAGAGTAATGGGTTCTGGAAGCCTGCACTGGGCCCCTCAGGAGCAGGGATGGGGGTCTCTCCCTCCAGTGCTGTCCTCGATGTCTCAGTTCACCCTGAGTATACTCAGGAATTGTCAATTGGAGGGGCACCAGGGCATCAGGACCCAAACCATGGAGGAGCTTCTAGAAACCCCTTAGTCGAGAGTCCTTCCCATTGGTTTGAGACCCCACAATGGAATCCAGTTCTCCTATTTGCAAGGTTCAACCTTGCAAAGTGTGAACCTGAAGATGAGGAAGAGCGAGAGACCAGTTCAGAGAACTCTCAATAAACTGAGAGTTCAGAGAAAAGAATAGGACAGAGATTTCCTAGGAGAGGGAAGGTGTCTCTGGAAAGCCTCTGTTCAAAGGACACTCCACCCCCATCCTGACCCCCATACATCTAAGACAATCCTTTACATTTCTAAGTTTCCACTGGCACAGGTTATTCATCAAATTTTTTTTTACCCATATAGGACTATTTTGAGGGCGAAAAGGGTACCAGAATGCTGTATCAACAACAGAAAATTAGGACTAAGCTGGGCTCGCTGGGTCACATGGTCACCCAAGCCCAAAGTAGGTGAGAGGAGGGGAGGACAGCATTGGCCTTCTAGCTCCCAATGGTGTTGGCTGATATTAGGTGGGACTGCCAGCACCAGCTCTGCCTCCGATCCAACCTCCTTCAACCCAGCCCAAATCCACATTGACACTGAATTTAAACCAGAGAAACACTCAACGAGAGCCTTAACATTTAAGTAAGTATAAAGATATTCCATGTTGTTGTTGTTATGTGCCATGGAGTCAGTTCTCACTCATAGTGACCCTGCACAGGATTTCCTTTATGGGAGCAGAAAGCCTCATCTTTCTCCTGAGGAACATTTGTTAGTTTCGAACTGCTGACCCTAAGTTTACCAGCTCAATTCGTAACCACTACACTACCAGAGCTCCTTATGTTCTATGTAGCATTACTTATAATAGCCAAAATCCTAGAAACAATGGGAATATCTAACAACAGATGTAGGTTAATGTTGTTGTTGTTGTTGTGTGCCGTGGAGTCGGTTCCGACTCATAGCGACCCTATACAGGGTTTCCGAGGCTGTAAATCTTTACGGGAGCAGACAGCCTCTTCTTTCTCCCGCAGAACCACTGGTAGTTTCGAACTGCTGACCTTGTGGCTTGCAGCCCGACTCGTAACCACTACGCTACCAGAGCTCCTTGATGTAGGTTAATAGCATCTGTTTAAATAACCAGTAGACTTAATGTCAGAGTCCTGGTGTGGTGCTGCAGGATAATGCACTAGACTGTAAGTTCAGTTTGAGCCGCAAGGTCAGCAGTTCAAATCCACCAGTCTCTCTCGGAAATCCTATACAGGGTTGCTAGGAGTTGGAACCAACTCAACAGCACTTAAAAACAACAGACTTAATATACCACATTCAAGATGATCTTTCAGTCCCCTGCTCCCAGCCTTTACCTTCTTAGCAGAAAACTTAACCTTGTCCCTGGGTTACCCTTCACTCCCCCACCCCATATTCCCAAGAATCGCAAGGAATATTCATATAAACATGTAAAAGCCCTGAAACCTAATAGATTGAGTCCTGATAAAGACATTCCTCTGCTCTAGCTTCCTTTGTCATTGTTGTTGTTAAGTGCTGTTGAGTCAGTTCTGATTCATAAGCGACACTGAATAGGTTTTCTGAGGAGCAGCTGGTGGATTTGAACTGCTCACCTTGTAATTCA